CTACAAACAGTTAAGAGCCTCCTGACTTGGGTGTTGGGAACCAAACGCAGGGCCTCTGGAAAAAGCAACCCTTAACACTGAGCCATCTCTCCAGACCCCTCCTTCCCCCTTTGTTTTGAGACAGGTTCTCCCTCATATAGCCCAGGCTGGCCTTGACTCCCTGGGTAGCTGAGGATAACCTTAAGTTCCTGATCCTTCTGTCTATACCTCCCCAGTGCCGGGGTTAGCAGAGTACACGACCATGCCGGGTGCAAGCAGCACTATGGATAGAATCCAGGGCTTCACGCACACCATGCCTAAGCAAGCACCTTACCAACCAAACCACATCCCCACTCCCCAGGACAGTATTTTTTTTTTTTTAATGACTAGGGGAAAGGACTTTGAGTTCTCATGGTGGCAAGTTATAAGCAGGCAGATGAAGGACAGATAAATGCTAGTTAGTGAAGTTTATTAAATAGGAGGCTGGGGATGTGGCTCGATTGCTACAGTACTCACCTGGCAAAGCAAAGCCCTCGGTTCGATCCCCAGCTCTGCATAAACCAGGAGGGATGGTTCACACCTGCCATGCCAGCACTCAGGAGGCAGAACCAAGAGGACTGAGAGTCGAACATTCTCTCAGCTACATAATGAAATTGAAGCCAGCCTGGGTCACATAAGACCCCGCTCCAAAACGGAAACGAAGAAAAGAAAGAAAGAAGTTAGTTAGAGGGGAAGAAGGAGAAGGTGGGAGAAGGAAGTGGAAAAGGAGATGAAGTATAAAGAAGAAAGGGAAGAAAGGAGAGGGGGAAGAGGGAGAAAAGAGGGAGCAGAAGAAAAGGGAAGAAGGAGGGAGGTGAGGGTAGAAGGTGGTGCAGAGGGCTGGGGCGATAGCTCAATGGCAGGGCACTGTGTACCATGTTCAAGTTCCTCCGTCTAACCCCAGAACCAAAAAACAAAACAAAACAAACAAACAAAAAAATAGCATGATCCAGAAAACCGTGGATGAAAAGCTGAAGTGTAAATATTTTGTTGTTGTTGCTGTTACTACTTAACTCCCTAAGATTAGGGCATGAAAGGAGTGTCAAGAAGGAGTACACAAAGGTGTGTGGTCCTGTGCCAATAAAACTTTATTTACAAAACCAGTAAATTTAGCACAAGCACCACAGTTTACTGACCCCTTTTTGTCGAAAAAGACTTAGACTAAATGGAACTGACACAGTGGGTCAGGAGAGGGGTGAAGGGCAGGCAGTCTTCACACGGCACACGGGAAAAGAAAAGCTTACCCCAGCTGGAGGGGGGTGCAGAACACAGGAAAGCCAGCCACAAGGGAAAATGCCTTCCTTGGGCAAGGACTTTGCCAGGCCCAACAGACAAGACAGCAAGAGTGTGACAGTATGTCCCTAAGGAGAATAGCAGAACTAGAGGTCAAAAGTGAAGACGGAGTTTAGAGTATATTGAGTATAGGCTAAAGAGAGAAGGGCTACAGTGGGGTGAAAGATTCTAAAACTAGGAGAGAAGGAAAAGCACAGCCTCTTCAGGCAAGTGTTAGAGACAATCTGTCATGATTGGAGCTATTTTTCCTGGTTACAACTTAAGAGACAATCGGGTACCACAGGCATCAAGTTAGCAGAGACCAAGGGTGTCCACTAGACACATCAACAGAGCCAGGGCAGCCCCTACAATCCAGAATAAGCCCACCCCAAGTTTTGAAGCTTGCTTGGGGTCTAGCAAGATAGCTCAGCAGGTGATCCCTGAGACACATGTAAAGATGGATAGAAAGACCTGATTGCACAAGGTTGTTCTCTGGCCTCCATAAACATGCCCTGACACAAAGGAGCACACACAAACACACATGTGCACACAGCATGCACTCAGGCAGGCATACATATACAAAACAAATAATTTGAAAATTAATTTTAAATTAGAATAATTAATAAGGTGGAAAGCAACTTAGGAAGGTACCTGGTATTGGCCTCACTCACATCCACTCACACACATGAACACATACACACACACACACCTCCAAAGGTCAACACGACAGATACCCCTAAAGCTCAGAAGGTTCCAATTGTTGCCATTGCACACTGCCGTGTCCTTAACTTCACAGTCCTCAGAGGGCTATCTCAGCCCAGAGCCAGCCTGATCAAGGAAAAAAATGGAAGAGCTACCCACTGCTTAGTTGAGCCCAGCTACCAAGAGTCCACTGAAAGATGAACTGAGTACCCCGCCCTTAGGGACACCTCCCCCCATAAAGACCCATTCCTTTCTTAAACACCGCATAGGTCCTCATCACCACCGCCACCCCCCAATCCCAAGCATGATGGATGGACCTTACAGAGTCAAGTTCTAGAAAGTTCCTCACCCCACACCAAGCCTCTAAGAGGCATCAGGACTAGTTTATTTAACAGAATTTTGTTAACGATTACCCCAAAGCAGGGGCGGGAGCTTCCAACCCAAAAGAGCAAGTGTTTGTTAAGAAATCCAGTACAAGGGCAAGCGAGATGGGTAATGGTGCTTGCTGCCAAGCCTCATGACCTCCATCCAATTTCTAGGACCCAGACTGGAAAGAGGGAACCGACTCCAGAAAGCTGTCCTCTGACCCCAACACTGAAGCTGTGATATACGCATGCTGGCCCCACATACACACAATTTTAATAAATAAAATTAAATTTCAAAAATAAGGAAACAAAAGATCTGGACATAATGGTGCCTGACTTTGATCTTCGCACTTTGGGGGCAGAGGCAGGCAGGTCTCTGAGTGAGAGGGCAGCCTGGTCTACACAAGGAGTTCAAGACTACACAGTAAAACCCTGTCTCAAGATGAGCGATTAATTAATTAATTAATTTAATTAAAAAAAAAAAAAACAAGGAAACAAAGAAACCCAGTAGGCAGGCAGGTAACTGCCGTCCTAGCCAAGTGGCCTGTCGGCAGCCTTTATAAACCTGCCCTTTCTTCTCATGCAGAAACAGATGGCTACTGCTTTGAAGGCATGTGACAAAGACTCACTGAGATCATGTTTACAAAGTATGGGGATTTTCCAGGAAATAAAGGATTTTTGTTTTTCTTGTTGTTGTTTGAGACAGGATCTCCTGTAGCCCAGGCTGGCCTCAAACTCACTACGTAGTCCAGAATGACCTTGAACTCCTGATCCTCCGCCTCCACCTTCAGAGTCCAGTGACAACCAACGGGGTGTACGACCCCACATCTAGTTTATGCATGTCAAGGAATGAAACACAGGGGCTTCGTGCATGCTTGGGAAGCACTGTACTAACTGAGCCATGTGCTTGGCCAGGGAGTGCCCTAATAGTGCACACTTACTGCATAAACTCCAATGTCTTCGTACCTGTATGCCATTACGGAAAAAATACCTATACAGACCTGCAATTCACTAGGCACTACTCAGGCTCTGACATCAGTGAGGAACAAATACAAGGCCCTGTCCTTGTGAACACGGCCTGTATACAAAAAGCCACAGAAGCTCCATTTCCTGAGCACAGGAAGTACAGGTACAGATGAACAATTACCAAAAATGCAAAAACAGAACTCAAGGAACCAACTTGTGTGCCCAAGTGCACAGCGCTACACACACAAAGTAACCCTACCTCCTTAAGGCAATTCCAAGGAGTCTCTGGGAGCAACCTAGGTGATCCCAGGAGCCTTGGGGAAAAGCATAGGGGATCCCAGGAGCCTTGGGGAGCAGCATAGAGGATCCCAGGAGCCTTGGGGAGCACACACACACACACCTCCCTCATTCACAAACTGCAGTTCCTCCCCTCACTGACCCCAAACGAACTGCTTTTCCTTCCTTCCTTGACCCCTTCCTCACTGTAATTAATTTCCTTTTGCGGAGGAATCTGAGCCAGTAATTCAGAAGATATTTTTCATTGTATGTGTTTTGAAACAGATCTAACATTGCCCGGGCTGGCCTCAAACCCAGTATCTGGACTAGCCTTAAACTCACCATCCTCCTACCTTGGCCATAATCAGACACAGAAAGCTAGTAAGGACGACCTCAGAACAAGTGAGGTAACACATCCTAAATGTGCCTCGCTTTAGCCCTCTCTGAAATGGGCATGCAACAATTTTGGCCTCCAGGGGACACTGGGAGGTTCTAGAGAAATGAGCTAAGGACCTGGAGGCTCATAATCATTCTAATTATAACCATCCCGAAAGCTGTCCCTACTGCTACTATGATTGCTGCGGGCCGAAGGTATGTAGAGTTTGCCACTAGACATCTGGAAGTAGAGAATTATAAACATAGCAACCATGATCTTACACGCAGGGTGTCGATTCTCCAACAAGTGTCTTCCATCAGTGAGGTCACCCTGGCTTTGGCTTTAAACCCTTTACGTGTTTGGCTTCCTAAATCTGTTGTTAACTCTATTTCCTTAAGGCGACCCCAAAGAGCATGGGGTGGGAGGGCAGGTTTGGGTATAGAGAAAAGAACAAACACGGTTGAGAGGCACAATGGGGACAGACACCCAAAGGCTGGGCGGGCACTAGGGCAAGGTTCCTCAGACCCGAGTTGGGTACATGCGGGGTGCAGAGCCACAAGTCCAGCGGGCAAAGGCCAAGGTCAGCTGGCTTCTGCAGGGCCAGAGCCACCAAATTCACTACTACCCCTTCCCCAGGGGAAAGACGATCAGTCTTTAGGTAGAGGACTCTACACAGACTAAGGGCGTCCTCAACCCTCAGTCCTTGGGGAGCTCTAAGTTGGCCTGGGGAAAAAAAGGGATGTCCACAACCCTTAATCCTCAGTGGAAGGTCTATAGGTCTATATTGCTGGAATGGTGAGATGGGTGTCCATAACCATGGGTTCTTTGGGGGGGCGGGTGACTCTAAGTTGTATGGGGCGATGGGAGAGGTGTCCCCAACACTCAGTCAAAGGGAAGAGTTCTCTAGGTTGGCTGCGGCGGTGGAGAGGGGTGTTCCTGACCCTCACTCCTTAGGGTGGGGGCTCTAAGTTGTCTGGCGCGATGGGGGGAGTGTCCCCGACACACTGATTTCACCCCAGACTTACCCTCGCCAGGGTACAGGTGGCCGGCTGCGCCCACCAGCAACGCGGCCACGGCCACCAACAACGGCACAGCCGTTGTCTCACGTCGTTTCCCGGAGCCCATGGCTGTAGAAGCGCAGGGACCCCGGCGATCAGAGCACGCCACGCCGTCCCGCTGGGGACATAGTCCGCGAGGAGGTCGCCGGAGAGGCTCTAGTGGCCACGCGTCCGTCTCTTCCACGCCGGTAGCTCGCGGGCTGCAGCTCTCCAGGCGAGAGGGCCCTGGGGACAGCCCCGGGAAGAGCACAGAGGCCTCGGCTTCAACCAACGAGGTGGCGCGGCCCGCAGACTACGGCCCCGGGTCACCCAGGCCCGGTCCCGTGCCTGCAATCGCAGGGTCCAGAGCTCACCGCCGTGCGCCCCCTTTCCAGGCCTCCTGTTTCTTCGCCCGGTGCAGCTCTGGGTGGGTCGCGTTCTGCGGAGTCTGAAACAGAGGGACGCGCGAACGGGCGGGCACCTGGGCTGGTGGCGGCGGCGGGAGAGAGGGCTCGACTCCGGCCCGTAAACAACGCGGCCCGTCAGCTGGGCCCCGCGCGGGCCGAGGGAAAAGGTGGCGCGGATTGAAGCTGGGAAGGGACTGTGCGCTCAAGTGAGGCCCGCGGAGGGGGGTGGGGGGGAAAGCCAGCAGAGCGCCAGGAGGCGTGGCCAGAGCTTGCAATGCCCCGCCTCCTCGTCTCCTCGTGTGGCGCCCCCAGCTTGGGAGGCCCGGGGCGCACCTCAGATTCTCCCAACTCCGACACCCCAAAATGCCTATTTAAAAAAGGCTACGACTTAAAAGCTTGGAAATGTCCCCAGATATTAGTCTGACATGAATGCCCGAAACAGCTCTGGGAATCCCACGTCAGATCTCGGGAGCTGCCCAGCTCCGCGCCTGACTCGAACGCCCCCAAATAGCCTCGAGGTTCCAGTTTAAATATCTGGGGCGCCCCAAATCCTCACCCGACTCGAACATCAATAAACAGACTTGAGGTTCCAATATAAAAGCTCGGAACGTCCCAGATCCTCTTCTGACAGCAGCAAACCCAAATAACACCAAGGTTCCAATTTAAAGGTCTGGAGCGTGCTCCAGATCTCCGCCTGATCCGGACACCCCAAACAGGCCCGAAATAACTATTTAAAAGCCTGGAAGTGTCCCCAGATTCCTCCGGACATGAACACCCCAAACAACTCTAAGACCCCAATGTCTTACTCTAACGCCCTCCCAAATATCCCTATGACTTCGATGGCAACATGGGTGCCCCCTAAGGTGCCCCCAGATGCAAGACTCAACCAAACAGACCCTGTCTTTACATTTTTCACTATTTTTGTCTCCTATGGAGAATTCACTTTAATTCTTTACTCCTGACTGTTTTTTTCTTTGCAGCCTCTAGGATTAATGCCTGGCTGGATTTCCCCGGTCGTGGATCTCTCTAGGAGCTAGTGGGCGCCCCACAAGTTCCCTCCCCAATGAGCTTCCTCCCAGCAGCGTGACCCACACCAACTTCCAGGACACAGCCACGTGTCCACAACGCTGGCCGCCTGTGTTCCCTGGCCTGAGCCCCTCTCTACGCAGCACTGGATTCCAGGGAAAAACAATAAAGAAATGACTCCTAGAAGAACGTAACAAGACTTCTAGAAAAACTCTGGAAACTTCATATAGGACCCGGATAGCTGTATTCCGTTTTCAACATGCATACCTGTAGGTGGCTGTATAAATGTCTAAAAATGTTAGTCATTTACTAACAGTCCTGCTCAACCATCTTCAGTCTAGCCCTGTCTGGACATTCTAAATATGTGAAGTCCAGAGGCCTCTATCCTTCACTTCCGGTGTCCATTCGGATAGATTACCACCATATCTGGAGCTGATGGTCTATGGTTTAATAATATCTGTAAAAAGCAAAAATAAAAATAAAATAGCAAGCAATTGAAGACACTCAAGATCAACTTTTGGCAGAGAAAGAGAGAGAGAGAGAGAGAGAGAGAGAGAGAGAGAGAGAGAGAGAGAGAGAGAATCTGGAGTTTGAACTTAGCCTGGAGCACATGAGATCCTGTCTTTAAAATAAAACAGTTGGGACGACAAGATGACTCAGCAGGTAAAGGCACTTGTTGCCAAGTCTGAAGACCTGAATTCAACCACCCTAAGGTCCCACAGGGTATGCACACACATACTAAGTAAATAAATAAATGTAAGTGCTTTCAAAATTACTTTTAAGTGGTAGCCTAGAGCTGTGGTTCCTTAGTAGAGCACTTGCTCAGCATACATGAGACCCTGGGTTTAACCTGTAAGACCAAAAAACAAAACCCTTACTAAGAACTGGGATCATGGTTTTTGCATTATGCAAATGCACTCCTTCCTTATCGCCTTACCCCAATTTTGCCCCCACTGTCACTCCTCCTCGCTGAGTCTCTGCTCCAATGAGCATTCTCCCCTGACTAGAGTTTGCAAACGCCTTTCAGTCCCTATACTCCCTTCCCCAGTCCTTTCCATCATGCGCATATCCCTCTGTGAAATTTTTATTTATTATCTTGCATATCGTTGCTTATCAGTCTGCCCCTGCACACCGTGCCTGACATACGTATTGGCTAATAAATATTTGTTCAGAGGAAGAATCAACAAGACCCTTGTAATAAGGGATTCTCAGTAAACAAAATCAACATGGTATGTTTTCTTGTAGACTGCATGTATGTCCTGTGTTCTGTGTCGCAGCAGGAAGTAGATATAAAAGTATCTGCGGAGGAAATCCTTGGATGCTGAGATCTGAAGAGAAGGATGCCAGCCAAAAGAAGCTGGGAGAAAATGTCCTCCTGGAGTGAAGGGCTTATGTGGTGGCCGTGGGGCTTTCGGGTGCTGTGAGTACAGAGAGGGGAGAGAGAACTCGATGTCATGGGTAGGAATGAGAAGGTGCAGATGCTCAACCACCACATCAGGATGTGCTTGATTTGTGTGTTTATGTGTACATGTGTGCACCTGTGACTGTAGCATGTTTGGGTATGCGTGTGCAAGCGCACCTGTGCTTCTACAGGCCACACAGGTGAACATTGGGTGTCTCCCTACATCAGTCTACAACCCTTTTTTTTTTGAGATAGGATCTCTCCCCAAGCCTGTAATTCACCAGTAAGCCAGTGAGCCTTGGGGATACTTTCATCTCTGCCTTCCAAGCACTGGGATCGCTGGTTTGGACCACAGTCCGTGTGCCAGTTTTCTATATGAGTTCTGGGGACCTCAGCTCAGCGCTTCATTCTTAAAAGACCAACACTCAGCCATTTACTCAGAGACTGGTTTGTGCTTTTTTTGTTTTTTTTTATTTTCTTATTTGTTTGTTTGCTTGTTTTGCTTGTTCACTTTTGAGATAAAGTCCCACTGGATAGCCTGGGTTAACCACCTGCCTCTGCCTCCCAGGGTTCGGGACTACAGGCATGCACCACCACGTCCAACCTTAATTTTATTTATGGGGCTGGGGAAGAGCATGAGCAGATGCCAAAACCAGAAGAGACCAGAAGAGGAGTGGTGTTCACTGGAGTCAGAAACCATGCTGACAAGCTGGACAACCTGAACTAAGTCCTCAGGACCCAGATAGTAAAAGGACAGCTGACTCCCACAAGTTGTCCTCTGACCAGCACACACACACACACACACACACTAATTAACACTCACACCAGGTGGGCACCAAATGCTGAAAGCAACATGCTAGGAGTATGAGCCAGTGCTTTCCAGAGACAGCCAGACTGCAGATGACTTGACCTTAGTCAGTGAGGACACTGCAGTGCTGGAATGGCATAGATCATGAGCCACACTGATCTTCGACTGTCTTAGATCCCGAATAATCATCTAGCTTAACTTCTGCCCCTGACCCAAGGAACAGATAAACTTTAAAGAATAAGCCATTCTCAGCACATCTCCAGCTTCCACCTACCCTAAGGCTAAGAATGCTGTAGACCGTCTCACACCCAAAGAGATTTCATTTTGTTGTTGGGGCCTGATTATCTGATGTTACCACTAATGTAACAGGTACACACAGTAACTGACAGCTTGTTTCTTTCTCTGCCTGCATCCAAGCTCATGCGAGGGTCGCAGAGTTGCCTCGATAGGTAAAAGCTCACTCAGAAAGGCAAAGGACAGCTAAACTGGCATCTTCAGTGGTAAACAAGAAACTGTCTCACATAAGGTGGAAGGCGAGGATCAGCAGCAGAGGTTGTTCTCTGCCCTCCACATATGCACAATGGCACATGTGATCACTCTTCTTTGGTTCATAATAAACTATTTCCTTATTTACTTTTAGAGCCGTTGCTTTGGGCCAGTGCTGGAGCTCAGGTGGTAGAGCAACTGTGGAACATCCAGGAACCCCTGGATCCCATCCTAGCAACTCTACCCTGGGGGATGGAATGTGCCTTGTTGATATCAGTACCGAGTAGGTGGCGGCAGGAAGACAGGGACTTCAAGGTTATCCTTCCCTACGCAGCAAGTCTGAGAGCAGACTCTCAAAAATCAAAAACAACAACAACAAAAGATCTGAGCCTGGTGATTTGTCATCCCGGCTCCTGAGGAAGCTGAGGTAGGAGGATTGAAGTTCAAGGACTACCTGGGCTTCAGAGCGAGTGCAAAGCCAACACGGGTAGCTTAGTGATGCCCTGTCCCCAAACAAAAAGCGAAAAGAGGGCTAGGAGTCTCATGGGTCAGTCACTGAGATGGAAGGAGACTGGTAGCACCTTGTAATCTTGCCGGTGACTGATTCAGAAGGGCTGTCTGTGAGGGCTAACGGCAATAGCATCATCCTTGCGCCTCTGTCTGCAATATGCAATCAATGACTTGGCTTTGTGCTGAGAGTTGCATCACTGGGAGATTTTTGTCCTTGTGCAAACGTCACAGAGTATATTTGTACAAGCCCAGATAGTACAGCCTGGGGTGTATGGCGCAGCCTGTCATTACCAGGCAACAAGCTTCAAAACACTGTACACCAAACACTCTCTACTAACGCAACACTATGCTGAGTGCCGTATCCAAACAGTAAACACGCACGACAGAGAACATTAAAAAAAAAAAAAAAAAAAAAAAAGTGGCTTGCTGAGTAAAGCATTGATTGAGCAAGGGCAAGGACCTGAGTTCAGATCACCCACACGAAAGCATGGCAGCATGCTCCTGTCACCCAGCCAGGGGGGAGAGGAGAAGTGGGTCTGGGGCTTGCTGGTCCTCTTTCCAAGATCATTTACCTTTCTCAGTCTGGTGTATTTCACTTAACATAATGATTTACAGTCCGATCTATTTCCATGTAAATGTCACAAATTCAGGGTTTGTCTATTCTGTTTTTAATATGGCAGAATAAGATTTTATTGCATATGAAGAGAAGGTTTGCTTAACCAAGACATGAGTCCTCAGTTTAAATTTTAAAAGTAACTGGGTGCGTGGCACATACCCATAATGTCAGTATTATTGGCTGTGGCGGCGGGATCCAGAGTTTAAGGCTAGCACGGGCTACCTACACAATAAGGTCCTGGCTCAAAATTACAGTTTAAAATAATATATATGACTATAGAAAAATTAAGATTGTAGAAAACAGCACAGTGGATGAAATGTTGACCGTGCAAGCATGAGAATCAGGG